CCACCGCTGCTGCCACTGCCGCCGCCGCCGCCGCCACCACCACCACCGCCACCACCCACCCATCCAACCCCATCCACCGCTCTACCGCAACCCCGGGAAAACCCTGGAAAATCCAGCAGCGTATACCTAACTTCACCCCGTATGTACCGGCACTATGTGTGAACGTACGACTTGCTCACGAGCGCAACGACACACGCTTCGCGGTATACGAGGCCGGGTTATATTATATGTATGCGTGCTCCCGTGTGCCTATGTACGCCTGTGTGTGTGTGTGTGTGTGCGTGAGCGTGCGCGCGTGTGCGTTCGTGTGCGTACATGGCGCATATACGTGAACGGGGCTTATGTGCGAACAAGGTGGTAGTAGGGTACATATACGTGGTACGGACGCGGGCATAAAATGCATGCGCGCGTAATAACCACCTCTCTGGGCTCGGAAGCGCGCAAAATTGTTTGCTCAAAGGCCGATCCAGGGAATCGGGTTGGCGCGTCCGCGACTCCTCGAACCCGCGGCCCTCGATTTCCGGTGGACGGGGGTTGACGCGCCGAGATGTTCCGGGTGGTATCCGGTGTCAACGGAACCGACGCGCGAAAACGCGCGAATCCGATCGCGCGCGGTACGCCTCTCGCGAGGATCGATCGACTTTGTCGCGCGCGTGATTGTTGAAACTGAGCTGCTCAAGCAAAGGGTACCGTTATAAAGGGGTTCGTTGATTCTGGAGTAGAAATGAAATGGCAACTTCCGGCGCAGGGCAGTTGTCGCTAGGATGTTCGATGCGTGGCTGATTGTAAATTATGTTCATGGAGTGGAGATGAAACAGAGTACTGTTTTTTTGATTTTGATGAATTCATATTCATCCCTGTTCTTAACCCTGGCTGCTTCACTATAGCGAGGCTGGACTTTAAATTTCGTTCTAACGGCTATGTAATTTACCAATTTTTCTGGTAGCTTGGAATAAAATAAAGGTACCCCGACTATGTAGAGCAAAATCAGACCCAAACCGTCTTTCTTCGACGCAAGATGCATTCAAGCCCATGCGAACGCGTAGCATACGGAATAGAGTGTTTACATCCGTGCGCAGGTATGTATATACCATTGCACAAAGAAGCGCGGTCAAGAGTTTCGTTCTGGTTTCTGGACGAGCCTTATTTCAAAATTACCGACGATCCTTGCCTACAGCATCGATCGTTAACAAAAAAATTCGAAAACATTCTTCGCTTCTCCGATTTCCCTGACCTCAATCAGCGTCGCTAATCAAATCCTTCGGCGATTACATGCGGTAAGTAGCTGTTTTGCCGTGAGAACAATCGCTAGTGAGATTCCTCGATTTTCCCTTGAAGAGCACGATTTTCCGTTAAAAATCGCGAGAAACTCGCGGATTGAGGGCTGGAGGATCACGCGCGATCGAGGAGCGTTCGCCGCGCGCCCTATTCTTCCCTCGAGCCATGCCAATTATGCCCTCTCCCTTCTACGCTTCGAGCGTCCCTCCCTTTCTCCAGCGTTCTCGATCGTAATCACGTTTTTCCGTCGCAGTTATCGGCGCTCGTAACTCGAATCGGCGGAATATAGGTCGCTGGGAACGAGCGAGTCCTTCCTTCGAACCAGTCGAGCGTGCTTCGCGTTATCGCGAATTTTTTCTTTCCGCTGCTACCCCCTTTCGCCCCCGTCCACCCCCTCTCCGTCAAATGAAACTTCATCGCGTTCATCGTCGACTGCTCAAGTCGCGCCCGATGTCGATCGCCGCTTTGCGCCGGCTTAATTAATCAGCTCGGCAGATCGCGCGGTCGACCGAGTGGAAATCGCGCGAACGAGAACCGGCGTTGATCCTAAACAATTTCGCGTTGGAGGTCTTGCGACAGGAATAAGTTAGCGAATGGCGGGGGGAAGGGAGAGAGGGGAGAGAAGGAGCAAGTGGATCCAAAGTTATCGCTATGATTTCATTAGTCGTTGTAAACCTTTCGATATCGAATCGATATTGCTACGCTATCTTAAATCGCGTGACCTTAATACCTTGATTAATATTTATTTCTCTTTTGATAAAAATATAGAAATATAAAAATACAGAAGTTTAGAAGTATAGAAATATTTTCTCGCCCGTCATAGGACTCTATATTATTTCAAACCTTTGTTCTTTCAATATTGACACATCTCAATGTTTAACGATAAGTAAATAATTCCACTGCTACAAAATATCACACTCATAGTGTCTTACCGGAAATAACAAAGTAAAATAAAAATGTTCCCCTTGTTTGAAGATAATATTTTAATCAATGAAAATGATGCGTAACATGGAAATATTTAATGAACAATGTGGAGGTGAAAAAAGAAACATTGAACCGTATTTTGTTCTACGTGTGGAACAGCGACGGGTAAAATGTTAATGTTTTCGGTACATTTCCGTTGTGTTTAACCTTTGTTTACCCGGCATAAACCGTCCGTATCAAATGACCTTATACACTCCTATAACAAAAGGGCGCGATTACAAACAACCTCATTTTTATTTTCGTTCTATCTCACTTTCGAGTGAAATCGAATCCTGGAGTGCTGCAGAGTTAACATGAATCGGCTGTAGAACCTAACCGAATCCAGTTTGCACCTAACGTTATCTATCAATATAAAATTCCTCTAATCAATTGTCCTTCCTTCATTGTGTTCCATATTCTTCATTTCCGGTTTTTTAATTTTCAAAGGACACGCCTGTATTTTTATATTATTTATGCAAGCGAAAGAAAGAAAAAAGGAGATAAATCAAAGGTCAAGGAGAAGCATAACAACCAGATGCACATTAAAAAGAAAAAAAGATTCAACTCACAAAAGTGGTTTCCGGGTCCAGCGTAGTGATGGCCTTTGTAAGCCGCGAAGAGTCCGGGGTTGATTCCGATCTGCAACAAAAAGCGTACATGTTCTACGTAAATACGTATCTTCCCTAATTAGCACTCACTTAAAAAAATATAAAATTCTGTCGGAATTGACTATTTGCTTAAACTATTTTAAATAACCATAAAGTATTTAAATTTTCCTTACTCGAAGCGACGTAAGTTAATCTTATTCAAATCACCGACCACACAACTTCTCTAAAAAATTAGCTGTTATCGAATGTTTAAACCAAGACATTGGACAATCTAGATCAAGGAGAATTGCTACTCGGTGAACGGAGGTCATACTGTACTTTTCCAGGGGTCCGCAATTTCGGGAACACGAAGAAAGAGAAGGTCGACTTTTTCGACAGGAAAGGGCTCTTAATTATTTCTCGTCGGCTGTTCATCGATTTCATTCCATCTTCGAGCGGCTTCAATCTTCGCGGAATTATCACTCGGCAAGCTTATTTCCAACTAGTTTCCATGCCCGGCGATACGATTATTCTCTCGGAGGCATTTGTCTGGCGACAATCATCGGCGCGCGGTTTCGATCTCCGTGGGGTTACGCCGTCGCGCTGTCGGAATCTCGCGCATTTGTCGCGTCAGGATCGCGTACCGTCGCGTCGGTGCCATTTTCGAGTCGAACTCCCGCTCCCGTCTTACTTGGCGCTTCGACTTTTTCGGACGCTGGGGAAGAAGCGACCGGCGAACTCGAACGAGACGCTGACGAGCGGAAATATCGAACGAACAATTCCCATATTCATATTCGCCGTTGATCACAATGTCTGGAAGTATACAAATGAAAATTCTCGATTCGGAAAAGAGTAAACGACACCGAGGAAAGTTAGATGTCTTTATTTTCAGTGGGTCAGAAATTTCTTGCGAACTATGTCCTTCATGATTTCAAGTGTTCACGATTATCTTACGGAACAATTGTGTAGCTTGCTGGTTATATTTGTGCCAGAAGTTTTGCTACGAAAATCGTCAGATTATTATACTCCGAGGATTTCAATGGTTACTAGTTATATTGCTAATGAGTGAGATATATAATGCATCTAATTGGTTCTAGACTGTTTTACAAATAATCCTCGTAGTTTACATGTAAAATTTAGTGGCTTCAGTTTTGATCTGTTAGCCAATAATCCTTACCAAAGCTCATCAAACTACGCCAATTAAACGTTTAAAATCGAGTACTAAAGTAACAACAGATTATCAGTCAATAGTTTTGTCCCTGCAACCAGTTCATAGTCTCGTGGCCCGAACAGCAATACCAAGGCTTCTCTTCTAAACACATCGCTCTCCATTGCATACATGTGTATTAAAGTTATACAAGCTTCATCTACGCAAAAAGTCCCGTCATCTAGCAACAAGATCTACGATAGCAGCGCCGGTGCTACGACGAAGTATCATTAAATGCGCGCTCCTCGAAGTGTTTACGCTCAAGCTACAGCGCATCGTTTCCGGTAGCCGCGTTCCGAACGCCTGAACTTCATTTTCTCTTCTCAAACCTTCGCGACTCTACTCGATTCGACTGTAAAAGTGATCCTAGCTGTCTCTGTTCTCGTTAAAGCACGTTCAGCGATTTTTCCCTGATACGTATTGTCAAACTTTTAGCAACTGTCCGTGAAACGAAACCAGGATCGAGGTATCTCCTGACGGGATCTCAATGTTTTACTCGTTAAAAAGCGAACGGGATGAGTGGGGGGACGCGGATGTCATGTTCTTGTTGAACTTCTTACGGTGAATTCCATTCCCGACACGGTGTACGCGTAAAGATTTCACGTACACCGTTCTTACCCGGCGATTATGCAACGCGCTAGACACAGGTGTGGTAGTACCTGTTGCGCAACCGCATTATCTTCGCTCTTCGCGGCGTCGGTTGGACAATTAATAACGACAAAGTCCAAGGACACGGGACAGGGACTCGGCTAGTAGCCGAGTGTCCTCGCTGTTAGGCTGCTAGCTCGATTGGCTGCTCGGCTGTTGCAAGTTTCGGTGCCGCGGCCGTTTCCGACACGGAAACGCGGCTTCGTTCGCGGCCAATCTTTTCGCGGAAATCGCGAGTGGCACGTGAGATACGCGCGCGCGTGCGACCGACGATTAGCCTCGTTACCTAGGCGTTTCCCGCGCGGCAACTTGTCGGCAACTACGTGCGAGCTATTAAGGAATTGCGTACCATTCGCCACGCGATCAGCGATTCTTAGTTTACAATTTGTAGAGTTTCTGCGCGATTTTCTGTTATACATCTGTGGGGCAATCTTTGGGGATTTTACTTTGGAACTACGTATAATATTTTACAGTTTTAGATGTTATCTATAACCGTAGGAATTTTATAGAATTATCTGGGCCTTCGTTTTAGTGCAATGGCTCTGTGAAATGTAGAAGTATAATATAGCCTGTTAATTGGAAATTGAGTGCTCTATAATATTGCAAAGAGATGAAAGAGTATGATGGTCTATGATATGACACAGTTTGGAAAATGCTGTAGATAAATGGTTGCTGTTTTAGGAAACTTCGTGGCTTATTTTGGAAGAATAGTTCTATGAGATGAGGGATTACAACGTAATCTTTTAATGTTAGATAGTAAAAATAAAATGTTTGGTAAAGTGATATCGCGAAATGGGGAAAGAAATATACTGGCGCATGGTATGGTAAGGTTTGGAAGATGCTGAACTAAATGGTGGATTGTGTAGGTCCTTTCAATAATGTACGAGGATCACCGAGCTCTTTTTAGTAGTCGAGACCCTTTTCGAGAGACCTTCGTAACCGCCAAAGTCCGTGAACGGGCTCCCAAAGGTAGGGACTTCGTACTTGGCCAAAGAACCACGAGGAGGACGACGGTCAAAAGATGGCCAAAGGATTCCCTTGATAGGATCCATTAAGCAGTCATACGGGAGAATTCGGTTCTTCCGGGTGATTATATACCTTGACAATTATTTCCCGAGTGGAAAGCGTCAAGAATTACTTTAATCGCCGCGATACGTTGACGTTGAATTATTGCACGGAGGTTTTTTTCTTTCTTCGATCATTCGAGCGTAATTTCATGCCAGCCATTACTCGACGCTAGATTTATGGTGCCTTATAATTCAACTGATTCCAGATTCTATAAATGTTATGTTTAAGGAATCGGCGTTCATCTTCTGCGTACATAAATCATCTATTTTCGTAATCCGACTCGAGTATTCTATGAAAGTCGAAAAACCTAATACCAAAATATCGAAATAGAAAACTCGCTTAATCAACATTCCATTTACACGTTCATAGAACAGTATCAGATTACCATCGTTCCCAGGCAATTCAAGCATGCTCGCGTGTGCCTTCACGTAAAATAAAAAATTCAATTACAACCGTTTAAATCAAAATTCAATAGATCGTTGATCCAGTTTCAAAAAACCACCAGATAACCTCTAACACAACCTTCACCTCTCAACCGACACAAACGAAAAACATCGAAAACAAACAAGAAACCGTCATCGTCGATCAGCATTGATCCCAGACGAATCCCGTCCGCTAATCCGACCGGGTCACGAGTTATCTCGGTCGAAGTCGAACAGGTGTACGCCGAGCGGAAGCGGACGAGAGAAACGGGAAATCGTGAGGGCGGTCGGCGGGGTCGCGGTCCTTCGGTCGAAATCGCGTTATATCGTTTGTCGCGTACGGGTGGTTGAGCCCTCTCCCTCCGTACATAAAGTACGTATCGCATTAGCGCGTTAACGCCAATGCGTTAGCCGGTCGGCCGGCGTCGAATGCTGCTCGTGACCGGGATAAACGAGGATGAAATGACAGTGGTCGGGGTGGCAAGTACAGGGGAATAGGGAGAGAGGGAAGGTTAGGGTGTGTGTGGGGAATTGTCGCCGATTGAAAACACCGCGCGTCGATGAGACCTCGACTCGACTCGAACACTGTGCGCCGCGGCCCGGTTCGGCCCGGCCGAGCGCGGATCGGCACCGCTCGGTTCGTTCCTGTGTCAGGGTGCGGGGGTGTCCAGAGAGGGTGGGCGGCGTAGAGGTGACAGGGAAGCAGAGGAAGGCAACGGAGGGGTCGGGATGTCCCGGCGGTGTCCAGGGGTAGAGGGCCACGACGAAGGCCGGCCCCGACACACACCGGTGTGTGTCCCGCCGCGTTCGATTACAACGACGCCCCGTAATAACCGAATTGCCCACGGCCCGTTAAAGCGTTTACACCGTTTGACGGATGATCGACCACGCTGACTACTCGTTCCCCGCGTAATATATGAATATGAACCGGCCGCTAACGGACTCGCCCGTCACCGAATCTCATGATCCCGTAACTACCTGGTACGCCATTCTCCTGGACGCGTTTGTGGGACGTCTTGCTCTAGTGGGTCTTTTGGTTCTTGATTGTTGTTCGTCTCTTGGTGTAGGTGGGACTGCGTTTGGATGGATGTGTTGGGGGATGAAACGATCTGGACGATAAGGGGTACTTTGCGTTAGTACTGCTATTTCTGAATTGTGGTTGTCCTCTGATTTTAGAATTAGTAGGACTGGTATTTGTTTGCAGTTCTCAGGGGATAAGGCAATTACGACAATAAAGGGGTATTTTATATTTGCGAAGGAAAGATTGATTTGTGTAATAGGTAACGGTAGGTAGTATAACAAAATAAGATCAGACAACTGGAAGTTTATCTTTCCCGTGACGCGTTTTTCCTGTGAAACTCGCGTAAATCGGACGTACCTTCAATGCTCGGTCGTTCCTCTAGTCCTTCGATATTTGCAATATCGAATTTCAATCTAGGATGAAATTGTGTCGCGATTCGTTACAAATTTTTTTTCTGTATACATTATCGAAACACGGAGTTTAAGGAACTCGGCGCAAGACGTTCAATGGATCAGAGACGTTCGGTTTCTGTGTACGGTCCCGAGCGTTTTCACGGGAAACGCGGAACGAGTTTCAAACCTGCGAAGAAAAAGTCGATGGTCGCGGTAAATCGCAACGAATCGGCGGGAATATAACAACCCGCATCGATGGGTGTGTTCGATGAAACGGCACGACCGGCGGGAACGTGAGCGCGCACGAGTTCGCGCTCGTTACCAACGTCAAGCGTGATAACCGAATTGGGTATGGACCATTAAAGCGATTACGACACCTGACGAACGCGCTACAAACGGCCATTTGTCGTAGTTACGTCCTCTACCGTCTCGCTGCCTTCGAGATGGATTTTCCTGCTAACTAGACGCCCGTTATGCCAACGGCTAATCGGATTAATCGTTCTCTCTCGCGAAAAACGACGCGACGGGATCGCGCGAGCTAGGCGAACGACGGGACCCTAGCGTTTCCGAGATCCTCGCTGAAATTTACGACTCGATGGAAGTCCGCTACCAGGAACAAGCGAGGCAGCGACGTTCGCGTGCCGAACAATCGAATCGGAGACCTTTTTTCGAAACCTGCGACCGGACGACTTGAATTTGTCTGGCTTCGCTAGAATGTTATTGTAGGATCTCGATTTACCCTTCAGAGATGGCTCTCTCGGTTTCTTTTAATTCGTTCAAATTCTTTGTCTGCTGTTAATATTATCGTTTGTTGATATTTTAGACTTTTCGATACTTCTTCGTAGCTACCTTTGTTTGTATAGGAAGTAGAATAAATGATGAAAACAGTAAAGGTCAGTGTGAACTGGGTTGTGAATAAACTAAATAATATGGATTCTTATATTATACTTCGTACATGATTGAATTCTACGAATGTGTATTAGAGAATTTCTTCTCGACTCTACATTTATCTGGATTGTTAGTCTTCTAATTGAACCAGGTAGTCAAGGTTGTACCACACTTGCTATGAGGTATAAGAAATTCAATAATTCGCGGTGTAATCGTAGGGAAATGATTTTCTCAAGCTTAGGAAGATTCGAATCGATCTATCTCAGTTATAACAGTATTTATCAATTGATATCTTTAAAGGCAATAAAGATAAGTAAATCTGCAGAGTGTATTGCATGTAAACAATAAATGCTGGTGCAAGAAAAATTGTTTAATTAAAGAAAGAATAGACTTACTATGATGATATCGAGGTTGCTGGTCAGGTGGTCGGGAAGAACGCGTTTACTGACTTCCTCCTCCGGCATGCCGTCGAATCTGTCGTGTTTCTTCCTCTCTTTGTACGTCTTTGCCCGTTTCTTCGCCTCCGCTAGCTCCGCTCTGTATCAAATCATTACTTTAAAAATTATCGGAAAAAAGAATTGAATAAAAATGATCGTAAGAGAGATTGCCCATTCATCATTCGAAACGAAAAAGATATTTAAACATTCGGTTTCACACAGAACACTCTGGCGTAATCGTGCACGCGGCTTATAGAATGGGTCAAAAAACTGTTTCGCGAATCTGTTCGATCGCGGAGGGAAAAGCAGAAAAGACCTCGTAAAACTGGGTAGCGGATAAACCGAGGTGTATTGTTTTTCCCGCGGTGCGTGTGAATCAGCTTGTAAAAATCGAGCGTCGGTCCAATTGACTGTGGCGAAATTACGCGGGCGCGACGCAAAGGATCCGCTTTTCGCGCGACGAATATCCCGAATAATTTTTGTTTTATTATCCGCCGAATTGAAGCGCGCGCGTGCCGCCAACCGCTCGAAAAACGATCTACCCGTTACAGGAACCGTTCGTTTGGTGATTCGATCAACCAGCACTGTTCATCGGACAATCGAGATCGCAATAAACAATAGGCATTTCTGCGAATCCGTGAACTGTCTTCCTTTTTCACGTGCAATTTTCCAAAAATTCAATTTCGAAACAGAAGGAAATTGAATTTCCTACTTTAAACGTTATCCGCGCGTTGCCCGTAAGTGTTGCGCAAACAGTTCTCGCAGGAAATGATTCCATACGCTACCCAAATAAATTAGTACTCATTCTCAAAATTAAACTCCTCGTAAATCACTGGAAAGACCTTCTCGACGAATTTTGGGATGTTAAAAGTTGAAATTTATCGGTTAATCGAAACAATACCTACTACTACCACCACCATCACTGCCAATAAACAATATTAATAATCGTCATCATAAAAATAATAACAACCTGTCAAGTTTATGACGTTTTTTTACCATACATTACATTGTATTTCTGTCTTTTAACATAACAAACCTTAATCTCTACTAAATAAATAAATAAATAAATAAATAAATAAATAAATAGAGAAATAAGTAAATGGATAAATGAATAATTAAATTATTAAATTTATCATGGTTTCCCGACGCGTAAGACTAAAAAGCATCGAGGACGCGTGTTATAATCGAGTCTAGTCGCATCGAGCGGCGTCCATCGACCACGCCGCATATTATTATTTAGAATGAACTGTAGCCGCCCTGACCGCGAACACTCGTCGCCCGGCGCTGCGTACTCACCAAAATTAGGCCGTAAATATGCAACCGATTCCGGTCGGTTCGTTAACGCGATTATCGAGTTCAGCGAGAAGCGCGTTTGGCACGCGCCCTTCCTTTTCCGTGCTCGACCGCGGATTCTTTTCGGCAATAACGAGCATCGGCGGTGGGGTGGTGGCGTATCGTTGGTGGTTGGCGTGGCCCGTAGACTCTCGCCGGTTCGTTTCGCCAGACGCTTTAACCTCGCTTTAAATGTAAAGTTGACTTTGCCGGATAGTTTGCATAATGCGAGCGATATCGCGGCCACGGGCCTCTGCGACCAAGGTGGATTGAAATTCTTCGGCGGGACGCGACGAGCGAACCTTCGACGAATCGGTGTGCGTTTCGTATGAGACGACCTTGTCACCTTTGATCACGGATCAACTTGTTCGAAGTGATTTCTTGGACATTGTTTAAATTGAACTTCTTCGAAGTTATTTCGTGAATATCATTGAAAGTTAACTTCTTTAAAGTGATTTTATAGATACTGTTCGAAGTTGTTATATGACGCATTGAAAATGACAACTGAATTTTTGTACTTTATTCTACTGTTCAAAGATTGAAAAAAGGTTCATAGAAATGTAGGTTTAGAAGCTCTTCCCTTCGAGATAGGAGCAATTTTCGTCTGCATTAAAGAAAAGGAAGTTGTTTAGAATGCCTAGGGTTAGTAAAATTAATCACTTTCGACAATGAAAATTTTGTACGCAGCAATTTAGTCTATACTTGAATTACTACAATTGATTACTACAATAACCTCAGTATCATCAGATTTCAGTCAAACGGAACATCGTCTATAATAACTTTGCTCATTCTTTTTATCCACTGAAAGAAGTCATCTCCAATTTTTACTCTAGTATCATGGCTTGTGTCATCGGAATCTCAATGCACATCGGTCAGTTCGACTGTTAGATAATTCTACTGTCAAAGAATCGATTGGAAACTGACCGGTTTCGTTAGTGAACAGCTGAATAAAAGTTCTTACTCTTCCGGCGTGAGTATCATCTCGGATTTTCTTTTGCGGCCTCGTTTCTTCGGCTGGTGCGCCGCCATTTGGGGATTCACTGCGCCGTTCATCACACCGAGGTTCATCTGAAGATGTTGCGGCACGGAAAGCGGGCCAGGCGGCGTCGACGTAGGTGTAGCTAGGCCTGCTTGCGCTCCGGAAGGACACGTCATGTTCTCGGGATTGCCGGCAGGGCTGCTGGCCGTCCTCATGCCGCCCATCGACATGTCCTCGTCGACGAACGAGTACGGGTCCACCGGGGTCTCGCACTTGATCGCCACCTGCAAACATCATTCCTTTCTGTACTGAACTTTCCTCATTCAAAAGAATTCATTTCGTTTTCGATCTTTAAAGGAGAACTTTGGAAACAATTGTACTTGTTCAAGCAAATTTGAATTGGAATTGAATTGCTTGATTTAGTCCCTGCACCCTTCAATAATGTCTGACAAGTATACTCATAGTTTGTTTCCAGTTACAAGTGTAAATAAAAAGTTTTAAAATGAAATTCCACTGTTAAATGGTTAAGAAGAGATCAATGGTCACATGGGGAGGTACTTAATCCTTTGCATTCGGAAGTTTTTCGGTAGAAATATTTGAACATTTTCTGATTAGATAAAGATGATATTTTGTGAAACTAACTGGAAGAGAAATCATACGTACATTGGGAAACAAAGCTATTTTATTTCAATATTTTTCAAATTGATACGTTATACAAGGTATAATATTAAATATCAAATTTTATAGTTTCACCTTATGAAATCTGGCGGTGAATGAGAGTCACCTCTCAAGTGCAAAGAGTTAATTTGTTCACATGCCGAGTATACTCGTTAAACACCGTTAATAAACTCCATCACATCGAAATACAAATATAACTATGAGCTTATGATAGACTAATAAAATGTGTATCTCCTGAAAAATCGATCGCTTGCTGTATAGATGTGGGTATAATGAATGAAGCAAACAAAAATTGCTGTATCAATTGTTAAATGTACAAATGTTGTAAAATGCCTCAATCCAGTGTAGGTGAAGTATTCTTGTATGTAATCTCGAGTAAAGAAATACTTCTAATTATTTTTGGTATCTCATTGAATGCGTTCGGCGGATTGCATGACGTATTTCCTCGCCATCGGTCCCGTTCCCAATACGAAAACACTGTTTCCAGAACACACGCATCGAGTCGAACGCGAGCGAAAGAGATTTTTCGTCGCGACAACGACGACGCCGACGACGACGCCGACGACGACGTCGCGACTCCCTTCCATTTTACCCCCGAATCCGCGCCCCCGTCCGCTGCAGAATTCATTACGAATTCCTGGTAGCTTTATTTTTTTTTCTGCGCGTCCGTCCGTTCGGAAAATAAAATTTGAAGCGGCACGTAGCGCACGTGCCATCATGAACACGTAGACCGGCAATCGTAAAATGTATATTCCCGTCGGTATACGGGCTGAAAATTGTCGGGGCAATAGCGATTGCTGCTTGCATCGAAAATAGGAGGTTGCGCGCGAGCGGGCGAACGCGAATGCGTCATCTTTGCCCACATTTCCCAATTTCCGCCGCTCCGATGGACCTTCCTCGAAGGAATACGCCGCCATATCGACATGTTTCACGACTTGATACTACTCCGACCGATCGATGTTTGGTGGTATCAGTTGGAACGGGGGTACAGCGATGATCCAACAGTAAAAATGAATCCAGATCACTTGATAAAATTGTTTTATTTGCAGAAACTGCAGCAACATAAACTATGATCATATTAGAAACGAACCTTCTTGTATTTGAATCAATTTTCATAGATTTTGATTGCCACGTACAGATTGTGCTTCATTTTTATCGCAAACAAGAAGGGACAGTTCTAAGTTTCTTTATCCTTTTTAATTTGTTACGATATTTTTTACGACATTCAATCGAATGATCGCAGAAGATTCTTTAATTTTCTGGTAGCTTACAGTTTAGACTTTTTCAATTTTGGTTACTCGAAGTTACGGGACTGAACGCGAGCTATAATGTTGCGAGTCGGCGTGCGTTAGGAAACTAGTTGCCAAGTGAATATCGTTCACTTTCCAATTTTAGTTGCCCAGTTACGGGGTCGTCAGTTCCGTTTTTTGTTTCCCGTGCTGGGCCACGCATGGAACTTTTCACGGCGGTGAATTAGAATGGATCAGATATCGTTATCCCGAGATATTTCCCGTGACCTTCGATCGAGCGCCAGCCAGGAAAGTTGGAAAAGGAGAGGAAGAATTATCCCGTGTCCGAGTCTGGCAGGCGCCGCGGCCGATTATCTCTTAGCTTTTTGTCCTCGATCTAGGGTTATCTGGGAGCAAGACTGCGTGTACTCGCGGCAGCGGATCGCGGTTTACGAACGATCGGAAGAGTATTTAAGGGTTCACTCCGATCAAACTGTCTCATAAATAGACAATATTTACAATCGTTTCCTTTCTCAAAGAAATGAATTATAATATCAACTCTTCCATGTTTTATTCAACGTGTACCCGTGCTGCAAGAAATTATCAAATAGCAAATACATTGCATGAAAATTGAAGCAAACCAATCAAATAATTACTTGATCAACGTTAATATTACCATTCTCGTTGAACTACAAATATTGAACACTAACGCATAGAATATTAATTTCGTCGTCATCGATATTGATTAACTGACATTTACCTTCAAGATATCGAAGTTTCATTATTCTCCTAATAATCAAACGACGAAATTGTTAACGCGTTGAAATTTAAAGCGTCATTATCAAACTTCGAATATCGTTCGCCGAGGCTGTCGTCGCTCCATCGAATACCGTAACACAGTCGAGACGTCATCGTCGACGGCAAAGAAGAGAAAACAAAGTTGAAACCTCGCGCACGGTCCGCAAAAAAAGCCCAGCGGGCGGCACTCGATCTCGAGGAGCGAGCGCCGATAAATCCGAGACGTGTCCACTGGTCAGCCGAGGAAGCGGCGTCTGTCAGCGCATCGGTTCCTCGTTACACGGACGGGTCCGCGTGATCAAGAGAAAGGACCGACGGATCCTAAACGTGGAATCCGTCGCGGGAACGTCGTCTACGGGCGACGCGCGTCGCCTCAAAAGTAGCAAGTATTTATACCCTTTGCTGATTACCCGTGGCACCGGTTCACCTTGAAGAGAAACGTAACGCGCGCGCGAGCTGCGAGACCGACAAACGGGTAGCAACAACGTTCTGTGTAGTATCTAGTACACCGGCGTTGGGTTTGGGTCAAATTCAAATTTCCTTTAATCAGGATTTTTCGAGATTCGATTTGTGAGGCGGCCTCGGGGAGATCTCTCTTGCCTTGCCGATCCAGATCCACTCGAAGTTTCTTGTGTCATTATCGAGAAACGACGCGTTGCGTAAGCACGCGGGAGCGCTGCGAAGCCGACGTCGAAAATGCAAATTGACCGCCGCGGCGGCGTTACGAAAGTCGCGACCGGCGAGCAAGCTATAGCCCAACGCGCTCGTTCGCGAGCTCCGCGCTTTTATCGCGCAATTTATCGCTCGTAATTCCGATGGGGAATCACCGGATCCGGCGGTAACGATGACCGATCGTACATTGTCTTAACCGACCAATAATTTCCTTATTTTATTCGAACCTCGTAATCGTCGATTACCGACTACGTTGTTCGATTACGCGACTCGATTAATAAGGCTGCGTTCGTTGTCGCTGCAACTGCGGCTTCTGAGACGTGTTGCACGCCGGGAAATGTGGATGGATGAATATGGTGGAATATGGTGGAGTATTTGCAAGCGGTTGTTGAATGGTTTGTTAGGAAGTTTTTGGTGATCGTGGAATCATTCGTTCGTTTTGCTTCTTGCACTTGTCGCCAGATGGCTTCGAGGACGATAACGTCTTTCTTGCTTGTTGCTGGTTGCCTTTCTATTCGTGTAGAGGATGATTTCGAAATACGTGGGCGAATTTTGGAGATTCTATACTTCGACGTTTGCGTGTGTGGCAGAAACACTTCCTGTATCTTGATGTGATTCTGTTAATGAAATACAGAAATCTGAATATTTCTTGATCCTATCGCCTAATGTACGCAAAATTTCGATGGTGTGTGTATATTAATTTCAGCATTTTCAGTGTAACTGATATGCTTTTATTACTTCTTCCTACCCTCGATATATCTGTTTACGATGCAGTAGTATAGAAACAATTAAAACATTTTTCAAATAGTAACCCACACTCTTATCTATGCAAACTATTAAAGTTCAACTAAAATTCGAATCACCAAATTCCACTGGGAATGTTATTCCAATACAGCCAGACAATACTAGCTAGACAATTTAGTATTTCGGGAATGGTTTGAACTAAAGCGTAACACATGTACAACGATTAACAATCTGTTAACATAGTTTAATTCGGCAACTAATAATACCAGAGTAATGCTACCCGCTTGTTGCGCCGTATACACCAGAAGAGACCCGCCGCTGCTAATATAAATACAAATAAACGGAAACATGAGCATCGTCCGCCTGGTTTGAATGAAACAAATGAGTCAGTGTATTGTAGATCCATCGACAATGGATGTGCACAAACCTCATCGAATTAACTCGAAATTAATAATTTTTCTGTAACAATCGAATGGTTCTCCAGGTGTACAATTGATCCAAACCGTTCTACTGTTCGTTTTCCGGAGTTAATCGCTTCGATAAACAAATCACTCGATTATTGGAACATCGACGTTAACTTATGACTTAACTTTAATTTGCTTAGAACTTTTTGCAAATGTGTTCGAGCCATCATCGCCGGGCTCGCCTTATACGCGAACATTTGCGACTGGCGACGAAACAGGCTTAATGGCCGGTTTCCTCGAGGCGGCAATAGGAAAAACTCACCTGTCCGAGGGTGGAAGCGGTCGAGCCAGGTTGCTGGGGTTGATGCGCTGTCGCCGATATCGGCGTGAGGGGTGTGTGCGGCGTGTGCGGTGTGTGCGGTGTGTGCGGTGTCAGCGGCGTGTGGTACTGCTGACTGCTGTCACCGCCGGTGCTCCTCATCTCGAGATCCGGACTTGTCTCGTAACCGTCATCCCTAGCTTCCTGCTTCACCAACACCCCACCTGCGCAGAAAAAGGCATCGCCCGGTGTCCTTTCAATATTCAAACGTGGATCCGTCCGTTCCGACGCTAAACAGACACGCAGCGATTAATACCCGCGAGGATTTTCGAATGTTTTCCAAGCTAACATCTATTTTCCACCGGATGGCTTGACCTCCGTCGTTAACACGTCATCGCGTCATCGGAAAGCCGATTCTTTTTGTCCCGTTTCTGTGAAATCGTGAGTCTTTAGATGGATGCTTTCACGTTTTCGTAATTGAATCCGAAATAGTTCGCTTGATATCGAATTTCGAAGCGTTACTGAAAGAGGAGGAAGCTGTAATTAGCAGACGTCAATGGACAATTAGAGCTTCGAGTCTATTTCGCATCTCATTTGATTAAGAACCTGTCGGAGTAACATGTTAATGATCGACTTTCAGAAGTTCAATTCGACTCGATCAGTTTGTCGTTGAAGCTTCACCTTACGCTAGGCGAATAATATTAACGCCGCAACTGTAACGAAAACGAACGTGAATTGCAGCGCGTATAGGTTCACTGGAATCTCGCTCTGTGTGCGACCCGGAAACACGCCCCCCCCCCGCGTTTTGTGTTATTCTCATCTTGTCGTCGTTGTTGTTTTTTTCCTCTTCCGAAACGTGGCGGCACTTACTGCCTTTTCACGTCCATTCTTCAACGGGCTCGATAACTAGAAACACGATAACGGGAAAAATGAAAGAGACGGAAACTTGGAGGGTTTCGCTCGCCGTTGCGGGTTTCAATTCTTGCCATTTGCAATTCTTGTTTACCGCGCGCTGCTTCACCATGCATGAACATACGATTCGGTTATCAGGGACGCTCCACACAAAGACGATTCCCTTTGTTTGAGTTTCGTTCGCTGGAATTTTCGTAGACCGTGCACTGGCCTTTAAAGGGACCCTTAAAGAGACCCTAGAAACGCTAGATGTCCGTGAACGATGCCACTCTAATGAATACTTCTATATTTAAAATTCAATAATTCACACGGATTATCCCGTGCCGGCGCGACATAAAATATGCGTCGGCGGCTGCCGGCGTCGAATTAACGCGCGTTGGCCGCCAGAGCGGTTTTCGTATTATTCGAAGAATATAATCGTAAAATACATGAAATTATTGAATCCGATTCCGTTATTGCTCGTCGCGCATCTATCTTGCCAACGTTCATCTATCAGCGTTAAAAACGTTATTAGCATCGATAAGTTCGTAAATAATCCGCTTTATTCGAGTCAGTCCACCCAATTAACCCCTTGGCAATAACAAGTAGTCTTGGATGAAGATTTCCCGCCCGATTCACTAGAAACCAATATTGTTTGTTATCCATTAATCAAAAGTGAAATGTCGGATTGCCATCGATATTTCACCTCGAAACCGAACCTACGCTCGCGATAAACTAATTCCTTCGCGTTTTCCAAAATTATCGATGCTGAAATGAATCAGATGGCTGCAGTCGCGAATCAAAGGGTTAATTACGTCTATCACGGGTGGCTGGCGCGGCAGTCGACGCGTTAACTCGTCTTCCCTGATCACCGTGCGAACCGAATCCGTAGGAAAACGCCGAGTCGCCGGCGAGCGCACGCGAGCGACTGACCCGCGACGTCCCGATACTCTGGCGACGTGTTTCTCGCGCGTCCATTAGCTCCGTGACGCGCGGAATCTTGCCGACGTTTTATCGCGTTATCGCTCGCGCTTTCACGCGAGTTCTCGCTGCAAAAAAAGTCTGTTGGTTGCGAATATAACGCTACATTTAGACTAACCGAACGGATGCGTTTAAACTGTTAACTGTCGAGCTCGTGACATACACGGACACGAGGAGTTTATGGAAAACAATATTACACCTTATTAATTACTATAAGTCCTGTAATAGCAGAAGCTTTCCTTACTAGGAGTTCAATTGCAACAATTTTATGTTCACAGAAAAGTGGTAACGAGGCTACTGCTTTATTTAAGATCGGTGAAGAACGCTGGTTTTCGAGGAAATTCGACGGTTAAGGGATTAAACCAACCCCGCATTTAGAAAAAGTTGAAGTTCGAATTAGCGTTTGTCTATTTTTGGTAAACGATTCGCCGACACTCGAAGAATGCTCGCTCGATTTAGCAAAGTATCGGTTTATTCGTTGAATATTTACCAGTTCGGCAAAGATCCGTTTGACTTGAACGACAACCGAACGGTTACGACACGATCGAACGTTCACATTAGTTTCATACATTAACCGTAGAATCAGCATTCATCGAAATCCAATACAGTCAAAAGGATCTCACCAAACCAGACACTAAAAAGTCCAGTTTCTCAACTTTCTTGCACCTTACAAGATCAGGAATCTCTTCCACCTATATGTATACAAATTGGTGAATATTCAACGAATAATGCGCATATTGCCATGAAAATTCATCTTTAAATCCAAGCAGAAAATCACGTTGGCGAAATTGACATGCCATTCAGCTCTTCAAAATGAATATATCCCAATTACTTCGCCCCGGTCGAATATTTATTTCTAAAATCGAGCTAGCATGATTCATTCGACGAACAAAGCGTGCACACGAAACGAAACGAATATTCTTTGAGTGTTCGACGAATCGTTTAAAACCAAGGAACGCTCGCCGGCACTTCAAATTTTTCAGCACGATAGCCGAACAAGCGTTCTATCGGTCGACGTGAACGCGTCACTCTTTTCGCCCGCGGTTTCTTGAACGGTTCGCCGTAAATATCGCGATTAACGCGGCGCGGCGCGGCGCGGCGCGGGGTCGACGGTGGGATCACGCGGACGCCGGACGTTAAATTTAATCGGATCGCTCGGCGTATTTCCGTTTATCTTTCCCGGGGAATCCTTTCGCGTGATGATATTCCATCGAAAAACGGCGGGCGGGGAGTCTGAAAATGAACGCGTCCGCGGATAAGCGGGCCGGCCGGTTTTTCGCGATGCCAAACGCATAAGTCACGAGCGCGCAGGGAGTGGAGGTGACGGATGAGGAACAGAGACGAAGAGAGGGGAGTCCTCGCATTTGCAAGGTACAATATACAAAATTGAAATGATATTTAATTTGTTATACCTTTGTCCGCGTAATCGTGCGATATTGAATTGTCGGCGGTGGGTCGCGGCGACGGGGGCGGATTCTTTTTCGGCCACGCTGCTCACCCCGAAACTTTCCTCTGAAATATCACGATATTTTCATGCGTCCTCGACGTGCGATAGTTGGAAAATTATTCCGGGCAGGACAGCGCAGGTTAGTCGACAGAACACGCGCCCGATGCGCTCCGCACCGCCCGGTCCGATCTTTGAAAGAGAATTCTGCCAATGAATTTAATGCAACGCTTATTCGATAGGCGGAATGAAACTCCCCCCGAATACTTTTTTTTTCGCCGACGGGCTAATTAATCAGCGCCGGACTCCCTTTGCCGGGAAATTCCGTCTCCTGTTTCAGTACGCCGCTACCTTCCGATTGGTTGAAATAATGTATTAGGTCGCGTAATGTGAAATGGCGGGTTTCTTGTCAGCGAGTCGCTCGTTCAAGTGATTAGTCGTGTGTTTGACGCGGTGGTCACGGCGATCACCTACCGAATTGAAAACAGTTGCAGTGCATGGGATGATTGATGTCTAATGGGAATGTTTTAGCGTGAGTAATTGGGTAATGACGTAAGAATTGCGACGGTGAATAGTTAATAACTGTTTCTAATTAGCTTTGCTGTGGAAGAGTATGCGATATATAAAATATTCGAGATTTCCGTGATAGTGAACGTGTTAAAAGTTATATTGATTAATGTTCTATTAATATCACGAACAAGGAACCGTTTATTTGAATTACGAAATGAATTTTTACTTCTCTTCGAGTAACTCGACGTTCCACGTTCATACGGTGTAACGAAATTCTCTGCGTCGAATCGCTGCGAGACGGAATCGCGTCGGTTGCGTTCGGTTTTTGTGTTACCTTGGGAACCGGAGCAGCTCATCGTCGACCCATTTGGTCCACCGTTTTGCACGGGCGACGGGTACGACCTGTAACCAAAAAAAGTTGAAATTTCAATTAGAATTTCAAGTAGTGACGGTTGTATACGCTTTGAAGCGTGTGTTTTTTGTGTTAAGAATCGTTCTCGTATAGTTCTCATTAACAATTTCTTATGTATTAACACGTTGCTATATAATATCCAATCAGACACACGCCGAAGAACTCAAATGAAATTTAACGAGCAGAAATGTACTAAATACAAGAAATATGAATATTTAATATTCCTCAATATTCCTTCGCGCCATTGTGTACAAGATATCCCGCGTTTATAATTAAATGTAACACCCTGTGGATTGTATATTTAATTTAAACGTGGGCACTGTTTCTCCTGGCATCATCGTAATTATCCTCATTCCCTTTTATTTTGCGCAATTCTCCTCTACTTCGACATTATCTCTGAAATAAGTCTTGGAAATCGTTCGTCCTCGAAGAACTTCGCTAATAATAAATAATCTCGTCGAAATATCTCTACTAGACGAGCGAACGGTCATGTTTCTCTTTACTCGTCACTCCGCTGGAAACATCGCAGCTCCGGTTTCGTATTAATGCGCGGACAAGCAGATCGCCGATAATTATAGTCGAACTCGTAATTACGTTGCAAAAAATTCCCTTGATAATATCATAAACTATAAATACCTAATCACAATTACACTAAATGATTATAATTCTGTTTACTGTGGCCACGGAACCTCGCGTGCTAATTTATCGAATGACAGAGATTCGTTACGGTATCGATTTGATTATAGACCTGTTACCGTAGGAATGATAATGGTGGACAGACCTGTTCTTACACAAGCGACGACCGAGAACAATCTCGGCACTCGTAAAAATCCACGAAAGAACGCTTGTCCGTCGATTAAATCCGAGATAGGTCTTGCGTAGCGTTATTAATATTAACCGCCGCGTTGTTCTTTTCTTCGCAGGATTGAAGCCGCGGGGAATATCTTCGTTCGTCGAGCAGCAGCAACAGGTAATTTTCGACAGGTTCCAATGGCCGCGTTCGTGAACTTGTTCGCCGCGGCACGCGGAAAGTCGTTTCGAATATTAATGGCTCGTTCGGCGAATTAATGCTCCCAATATCGAGTCGTTTACGCGACCATTAATTCGATCCGGAATACGCGCCGGGTTTGTTGCACCCCTTCGAGAATGCATGCGGCCGTGCACACCGGCGACGCGAGTTTCTTTGCGAGTGTTGCCGGTTCGCTGAATTTCCACGCGGGCCGTGGCGAAATTTCGAGTATCGCTGGATAACCTCTTCGAACAGAACCAAACGCGAACGTTCCAATCCTTCGAGGACCGGCTTTGAAACTTTTCGGATGGTTAATTTTACTATCATGTAACAGTATTGTTTCCTTTTTTGCTTGTATCGTTTGCAAGTTCGCGATCCAACAAAACAACTCGGTTGAATTAGATTTCTTCATCCCTTCCGTTTCGCTTCGTTTAAGGAAAAGTTTCGATACAAAACGGTAATCTTTTTTATAGAAATTGATTTCTTTTAATGATGCATCTGAAACTAATCGATAGCACGACAATATCTCGACGTATTTCCTGTGCTATGTTTTTATTGCGCTTACTGAAGTAACACAGAGAATGCATTCCTTTGATCTACCAAATCATTCGAATAGACTACTATCTATATTCTTTCATATTTCTCCGAATTAAGATATCATCTTCCAAGAAACATCTTTCTCCGATGAAAGATTAAAAAATTGTCAAATGAATTATATTTCAACCGAAGCATTTGCAACAATTCGGCAGATAATTCCGCTCAATTATAATCGATGGTATCGCTGCAAACACTTAACTCGCAGAACGATTCTAGGCAAGCAGAGTTTTTCCCTAGTCCCTTGAAACCGCTACAAGAGCAAGATAATTCGCTGTCACTTATATTCCATTAAAAAGGAACAGAGAAAAAAATAACAAATGACGGAGAAACGAGGGGGAAAAGGGAAAGAAGCGGCAAGATCGACGGAGCATCGTAATCAGCCGCACAGTCGTTATAGCGCATAAGTACGCGTGCACCCCATTTAATTGATTGTGCTCCCTATAAGCACGCGCCAATTATGATTGTTCTCTCTATTACCAGCGCCCCTTGTCCCACCACTCCCCCGCGGCCCCGGCAGGCTAGTTCTCGCTTGGACGCCTCTCCCCGCCGTTGCAACCTTCACCCCCTCCGCAGCCCCTCGTCTTTCGGCTAATCATGAGCACCGATGAGCTTCGTCGCATACCGAAAGCGTGCGCGCGTATCGGGAGACCATTTCCAGTGAGTTACGAGCTGGCGGGTCACTTCCGTTTTCGGGGAAGACGCGGGGCTGCGTTTTGTGTATTCGATAGCAACCCTCCCGAGGCCGGAAACCGATCATTGACTGGGAAATCCGCGAAGTTCGCTAAGAATCGTGAAAATGGATGCGGAAAGTTTCGGGTGGCGGTTTCCTTTGATCGTCTGTACTTATTTGTTCAGCGTGGGTTAATAAATGTAAATCAGCTGGATTATCGATGTCATTTATGACAAATAACAGATTTAACACGATCGCTTGGAGAATTTTGAAGGTTTTATTGCTTTGTAACAAAGGCGAATGGTATTTGAATGAATTGTTATCGATTCGGTGTCCTTACGTTATATTATTATTTAGCTACTTGTGTAGCTAAATATTTTCATTCGACGTCAGTTTTCTTCTTGTAATTGTTTTCAAGCAACTCAAAAGCTGTGGTCATCGGTAACCGTGGTCACTTTACAGACTGGCACACGAGTATAGATACGTGTATTGAATTTATTATAACGCACCAGCTTCGTATATAATTATTAAATGTACAGTCAATTTTACGGTATCTACTTACGTAACGAATTTTCCGTACTATTCCTACTTGAATTCTACCATTTTGAATATTTCAGTATCATTGATAGTTTCAACCCGTTCTTTGTCGATCGTAACACGACTACATTATCTTCGACGATAATGGAGATGTTCCAGGTGAACGAAATTATTCCCTGGCTCTGTGTACCGGTCGGAAATGCAATGATCGCGCCGCGTCCGAAAGTTTCCAAGCCCAAGATTCGGTTCGGTTCGGTTCTGTCCGCCGGCGGAGATTACGGGCTGCGGCGCTCCCATAAACTTCTCGGCAAGTGAAACCATTACGATCAGCTGTGCGCCGGATCGATTAAGTAGCTCCACGCTCGCGGAATCGAAAACTCTCTCTCTCTCTCTCTCTCTCTTTTTCCCCTCGATCTCTCTACCCCTTGCTCGCCCCATTCCGCGGCGTGACCGTACGACGGAAGTCACGATCCTTTTCCAGCCGTTCCTTTTCCTTTCTTCGAACTTCGCTCGGCCTCTCCCTCGAGTATAAACCGTGGACCTGGTACACTTTTACGAGATTTATCGTACGGCCATTCTTATCGAAATCTTGCGTGATCGTGTGTGTGGGAACGTAGCAGCGATTACTACCTCCGAGAAAGAATTTTATCGAGCAAACTAGGCGCTCTTCGAAACGATTGCTTGGATATTGAAGAGAAATTGAGTATGTTCATTTACTCGGTATCTTATCATAGGTGACAATAATGAAACTTGCTCCTTTACTGTATTCTGTGCGTTCCGAGTGCTGCGAAAAAGTTGCCGAAGCTTATATCCTCTGCAGGATCCACGTCACGTTAAGACAAGAGCAAAATGGAGGAAAGAAATTTTCCGAATTACAGTACTAGAATGCCTGTTTCACTTGAAACGGAGCCTAACGGAAAACTTTTCGCTTGTTGTAATCGCAGCTTTAATAACAGTCACATAATTACAGTTATTGTAACTATAGTTATAATTCTTTTCAATGTTTTATTACTATTACAACAATATTACAATTATTTACCGTTGTAACAATCATTTTATATAATCAAATCTAAACCGATCCGAGGTCGTTTCGTTCATCACAATCGCATTGTCATCCGACACCCTCTACGAAGCTGTCGAAAGTTGCCGCGAGATGGACCGGGAGGATCGTTCCCTCATCCGCGAACCGCCGCGATACCGGTTCGGTACGCGTAGATAATGGGGGCCCTCTTTGGCGCGCGCGGACCGTTAATATTACGCTCCCAGACTAAATACAAACAATCCAGTGCAGGTACGGAACGGAACAGAACAGCGCGACGCGTGCCGTGTGCAGTCCAGCTGCGTTGTTTCCGTTAAAATTGAAAATTACAGACCCCTGCATCCGTTTGTTCGAGGCCCCGACAAAAGGGGGCAAAATATGAAATCAATATTTGCGTAGCCGCGCGCACGCACGCACGACCCCTTCCCGAGCTCGCACACATCGACGGCTTATAATATTTTCTGAGTTTCCCGCGAGATCGGTTGGTTCCGACTTTTTCTCTCCCTCTTTACACCGCTGCCTCTCTTTTACTTCGCGCAGGAACCTACGACCGAAGCCTTTTGTCTACATTTTTTCCTCCAATTTCTACGTTTCTTCCTTTTTCACGCGACGCAAGAAGTTATCCCTCGGAGGAACGCGTTGCGTAAGTCGATAACATTATCGACACGATGGTGGCTTCGGGAAAGCGGCTGGCTCGGGGAGGCGGTGGAAAAGAAAAGAAAAGAAAAGAAAAAACGGCCGGGACAAGATAATAGCGACACTCGCAACGAGTGGAAACGCCTGAATGCCGTAATCACTATGATCGTGTGGGGCGACAGAAGAAGAAGCCGCGGTGACGTCGTCGCACGCATATGCGAACACGTGTCCCCGGGTTGGTTCGCGTGGATTTTAAAGTCCTCGAACGACGACTGAAATTATAGTGTACACAATGCCGCGCGACTATTACACCGGCACCCGCCGTATTAATAGTGCACGACCGCCACAGGTTCTAGGGGAAACAGTTCGCCTTGTATTTTGCCCTGCGGTTGGTTCACTGGTCCCGAGAGCGATTGAGACACGATTCTGAAATTATTGTTTTTTAATGACCGCGATACTGTTCTCTACAGTTTCTGTTGTATTCTGTCTGGTTGGCCGAATAGCATTTGTAAGGTTAACACGTTAACCGCCACGGGAATTCTGAGCGATTTGTATAATATTACTTGTTCTTTCGTAATGGAGGCAAGTGGTATTGGAATTGGTTATTCAGGGTTTGCTATCATGGTTCTTGAGTTACACTATTATTTCGTTATTTGTGTTAATGAATATTTTCATTCGACATCAGTTTCCTTCGTGTGACATCGTCTTCGAGTATTTTGGAAGTTTCGGCCATCGGTTATCACCGTGGCGGTCAATGTATTCACGGAAAGTTTTATTTTGCCGAGTGATCCGTTGCCCTACAATATCGTGTCAGACTCATGGCGATGATTGTAAATAGTATTTAACAAATATAAGTGTAATTTGATTCTTTCGAGTCTGAATTGAATATTATTCTTTCATTATTCATTGTCATGCTTCGGATGCCTCAGGGGCCGTATGGCGATCACGGTTCGGGAAGTGGCGATCCCGGGGTCCTTAGCTAGGGTCTAACCAACCCTTGGTGTGGACGAGACACCTTGATATGGCAGGCACAGCTTATTTATGTATGTAAGAAGCCGGACAGGTCCTACCAATAGACCTGCGATTGGATTGGTACTGCGAGCGCTCCGGTTGTCCACGAGGGCGTACGAAGGGTGCCGAGTCCCCTTGTCCCCTCGCAGAGAGCGTACCATAGGTGCTTGTCCCCGGGTCCTCTCGGCCGGTGCAATTGGTGTTGGATTCGTAGTGGCAGTGGTTGAAGCCTACATGCTGGGCAGAGATCTTTCGAGGGCCTCGGCGCGTGAGCAGCGTCCCACCTGCTGCTGGACCAGACAGGAAATCTGGTAGAGTTTTCGGAAAGGTAACTCGGCGCTACCAACAGTCTACTTCCATGGGATTCGTCATCCCCGGGAAGCAACGCTGGTAAGGCTGCGGCCTCAGCTGATTGAGCTTAATCTCAATCCCTCGCCCATGGGGGCTCTCCTTGGTAAGCCTTCGCGGCAG